TTATTATTGCTAAAACTGGGTATATATGAATTACGTTCGACATAATTTGTTGTCTTTTAATCCTTAAATAGCTCCTACACTCATAAAACATAATCTTTAAAATTCAGAAACTGTCCATAAAATGTTGTAGAATACAATATAGAGAAGAAAACGCAACTAATGCAACGGTAGAGATTTATCGTATTTTGTACTGCTTCGATATTTTGAATGTCGAGTTTTGTCAAAAAGCACAAGTTTTTTAATTCTTAGTATCATCATAGCAATGGGACATATTGGACAAAATAGTTTAAAATTGTATGAAAGCTCGAATGGAACTTATCTGTTATTGTTTAATTGAAGATGCTGTGATCTTCAAATTGTTTTGTGCTACTGAGTAAAAATAACTTTGAAAAAATAATATTATATTTGTTTTCTTTAACTCCAATAATTTCTTAACGTGCTTTCAGAAAGAACAGAAAGTCATTTCAACACACACGCTTGTAATTGGATGAATTATTTAATGATTTTCAACGTTCATCTTTTCATTGCTTGAAATTAGTAACTTAACATTAATCAATTAAGAAGTAACTGGAAAATTAGGAAAGTCAATACATTGTACTAATTTATAGATGTGGGTATTCAATAAATTTTAAAAGTAGTAATGTGTCTTCAAACGATATTTTATATTACTTTAATTGCTTAACATACAATAAAATATCTCCAATTTGTTAATATAGCATAGTTAATGTTTTCAATGAATCAGCTTTTCGATAGAAAACTTTGAAAATATAACGTTTTGTTAGTTATTCCAAAATTAGAAATTAATATTTTAATATAAATGTGTATGAAGGAAATATTTTGGGCATAAAACTTCCCAAAATTTTTAAGAAACTTCAGGTAAAATATAAAATGATACACTGTGTGTAATTCTTTTACCTCTAGAATGAATATGATTATAAATTATTATTTTTTATTCCACTTTTAATTACTACTAATTATAATACCTTTCTTTTAGGCTAAAACGAAAAATGTACGACAAAATCTAAAACTTCAAGAAAACGGAATGAACTATAATATCCGCATGAAAAACAAAAATGGAAGTATATTTACAACATTAAATGACAATTTCAGAAGTGTGATATAAAATGAAGACAATACAAAATGTATGTAAGTTATTTTGCATGCCATAAAAGTATTGAATTGAATTGATGCCTTATTTTAAGTGATGAGTATTTTTTCTAAAAATGCCGTTTGAGCACAACGAAGCAATCTTTGTAGTTAATATAATAACTATATATTTTTTAAATGTTACATAATCAGAATTTTTTGTAAACTTATATAACAAACCTTGAAGAGCACTCCAAGGTGACTTTAGAATATGTCAGCGACCTCCCCAAGGTTTCTGTGAAGTCACGTGACTTTTAAAAATGCCAATATTACTATTAAAATTATACTTTGATAGAAAACCACTAGTAAAATGATTAACCCAACATTTTTAAAACAAAATTTCCCAATTTATAATAGTATTTTACGGTTTCAAAAAATAATATTTTGAATTTTTAGTTACGTAACATTATATAACATACTAGTCAAAACAATACATTAAAAATAATTCAACAATTTACTTTTTACATGTAATTGTAAAAACTGTTGTTACAATATTTAGATTTATGTTTTCTGTGTTAAATTACATTTGTGGGTTTTCTAATTACGTTATTTATAGTACACCCAGTTTGTAATCTGGCAGGCTCCCTCGATTGCGCCGCCATTTTGAAATCCGCCGCCATTGGAATAATTTTTCTTGAAACTTATATATATAGTTTTAAATACTTATTCAACGAATAACATAGTAAGTTAAAAGTGTTTCTTACTATTTAAATGCATAATTAATATAATTACTGGCTTTGTCAAGTGCAGTGGCGGTTCAGTGTTTAGTGTAGTGGACAGAATAAAAAAAATTATTTTGTTTATGAAGTTCAAACGGCAGTTTAGAAGAAAAAATGTACTCATGTTGTGCGTATTATGTGGTAATTTATTCGTAAAATAATTAGTTTTATGACTGAAGAATATGAAGACAAAAATATTAAGGGCAATTAACAAAAAATGAAAAAATATAATTAACATATTTCTATCAGATTGTATTAAAAATCAAATTGGATTAAAGATAATATGTGGGTGAAGGATTTGTATCTGAATATTTGCGTAGTTTGTTTAATTTATGATGTTTTAACAAATGTTAATTACAATCGATTCCACATAATGGTATAATCGAAACCTGTGAGGGGGTTAAAAGAACACTAAATTTTCTGATAGCTGTTTAAAGATGTAGTTTTTAAGTAAAGAAATGGCTTTGACAGAATCTAACAACATTTTTAATGTATTTTGGGCATAATTTCCAATACCTCCATGGAAATCCATGAACTTGGAACAAACGTGTGTACAAATTTGGGAAAATTAATAAAGTGCTCTATCCATCCGTGCAGTGTTGTAAGTATCGTTTCAATGTAGCAGCGTGTATATCCAAAATAGTCAAAAAAATTCAAGTGGTCTTAGAAATGAACATCTCCCAGAAATACTATTTAACTATTCCTTATATTTTGAATTTTGTAGATATGTATGAATACTAGTATTAGGTAATATCATAAAAGTCATTAATAATTTTGACAGTGTTCGTTATTTTTTTAATCAGATCTTTTATTCATTATACGAATAGAAGCATAGTTGTTGGTGTAATTCAAGAGGATACATTTGTTGAAATAAGAACATTTGGATCAATCCAAGCGCTCAGAAGTGTTTCTCGAAATTTCGCTTAATGTCAATAAACAATTTGAATTAAGTACACATTTCCCATTGTAAATGTTACATTAGAATTTTTATATTTTGTAAAAAGACGTAAAAAACTCTGCAAGAAGTTAAAAAAGTACACTGATGTACAGTTTTATTACACAAAACATTTCTCACGACCACACACACTCACATATACATACACACAGATATATACAGAAATATATTAGTATTTAGAGTAGTATACATCAATTTGTCGGTAACAATTTGCAGCTAAAAATGTTGATTCGGTTGATAATATGAAAAAACAATTCTAGGAATAGAGTTAGGTATAGAGTTTACCTCTGTGTATTTGACAGAAATTGTATTGATTAAAATTAAGTGAAAAATATTACTTTGCATTTAAATGTCAATATAAATTTCAAGAAGAGTTCAAAATGGAAAAAAAGTAGAATGAAGGAATTTTAAAAAAATCAAGAAAAGAATGTAAGAAGAAGTAAAGAATGTCACAAGTTATTTTGTGAAATCAGTATTACTAAATGATCAAAAGTCATATTTGTTAGTGCTTTATTAAGATTAACATTAAAATAAATTCTTACTACCCTTGCATTAAAATTGATCTCCGAGGTTTAATGTTACATTTTAATTGTTTTAATAATAATAATAATAATAATAATAATAATAATAATAATAATAATAATAATAATAATAATAATATGCTGTCATTAATGTTTTCTGCAATAGTTAAAGCCAGGCAACTATTTTTTTTAATATTTACCACGAATATATGTTATAAATATTGAAATGTCGGCATATAACGAAAACGCAAGATCTGTTAAATTTACGTTTGATTGAGTGATAAAGAAAAGCAGAACGGTGCCAAACTGTTGGAGATTGTTATAGTTCCTTGTTATTAAAGAAAGTATGTATCTTTTCCGTTTCTTCTATTATTTTCGTGGGCCCACATGACTTGCGTGTGGAGACTGGGGGTTGCCCCCAGCGCGCTCTGGTGGTGGAAAATATCGTGAGCGCGCAACGGTGGCGTTCGAAGGGAGGGGTTGCGCCGACCAGCGTCGGTGGCGGGGGCCCCGGTAGGTCTTGGTCACAGCCTATGACGTAAGCAGCATTAAATCTGCCATTGGTCAAGTTCGCGCTAGAACTCTATTTTGCTTCACCGGTTTATTTCACCTTCTACGGATGCGGGCGAGCACTGAAAGTGCTTTGAAATTACGAACATCTCGCATACTTACAATGTATTCATAAATAGGACACCTTCGTTTTTGTGGAATTTCTCGACAACTCGCATATAAATAAAACTACTTACCATGTCCTCCCCTAAGATAAGTAATCCATTTTCATCCTGGGTGAGTTAGTATGAAGAACACGACTGAACTTTCGCACGTATCCTCAATGTAACATATTTTTTCACTACACATGCTTCTTTCACAAAGCACCACGTTGGATAACACTACCGTCGCAATAATAGTTTTGCGCGCACAATACACGGAAGGTCAATAAATATTTCACTTTGCCCTTTATCCCGTGTGAATCGTACGCACTCCGCCCTGTGACTGGAGTACGCGAGCTCTCGTAACCTTACCTTCGATAATAGTCTGATGCAACTCCACTTCAGAATCCGTCATTTCGGGCTGATGCAACCGCCCAGGTGTGTTACATACATTTCAGACTCTAAATGTGTGTATGAAACAAGGGATATTACTTAATATGAAACAAATGGAAGTGTAATAGGGAGACACAATGTCTGGATCATATAAAACGATTTCAGATCGTAAGAATTGCTTTGTATTTCATGGCACGTCTTGCGCCGTGCGGTACTTGAAGTAGGCAAACCTTGCCTTACAAGTGTTGAACGTGTTGCTTCCCTTGCCCCTGTAAAGTTCTTCACACTGCTGCTCTCTAGTAGTAAACAAGAAAATGTTTGGGATAAACGAAGTCTTAATAGTGCACTGTGTTAAATAAATTATAAATACGCTGTCACATATATATTAAACGAAAACTATATTTTTGTACTTTTATTTAATATTTCCGTACCTCTCATATATATTGCATACTTAGTCGGCTGCAATAATGATTAAACAATGTTATTAAAATAAGCAATGAATAACTTGGAAAATGCAAAGGGAAGAATTCAAAGTAGATAAGTTCATGATTAATAAAGTATTGTACGGCTAACATAATGATCTCATCTTTTAATGATGAAAAATTACAAATAATTGTATCTTCAATGTTGGTGATCCTGGATTCTGACTTTCAACTGTTTTTCTCATGTCATGTATACAAGCATGGCTTCTATAGTGGGAAATTCTGACAGACGTGCTTTACTAAATGTTATATTAAAAGAATTGACGAGTGATGTCAAGAGCCCTGCGTATGACTATTTAAAGAATAGTCTCGTTTCCTCAAGACCTCACCTAGTAGGTGCTTTAGCATGTGCTGCAGAAACGAATAAAGAAGAAGTATTATCAAGCTCGTTCCCTCACGATGACTGTGAATTTCTATTAAACACAAGCAACGATGAATTTTATCAGTTATTCAAATTCAGGAAGCAGACAATGAAGGTAAATGATTTGAATTACACCAGTTAAATAGTGTGTTGTAAAATAATGTTGTTTAACAATTATTTATGTTGTAGGATTTAATTCAACTTATGGAGCATAGATTACTCAAGGGTGAAGATGAAGATGGAACTCCAGTAACAGTTACGAAAAAAGTTCTTATGACGTGTTGGTTGATGACCTCTGCAGAAGAATATTTTATGGCTTCAGAAGTATTCAACATTAGTGTCAGTTCAGTTGTGCACATTTTTCTTGAAGTTTGTGAAGAATTGACCAAGTTAACTACACAATTTGTAAATTGGCCCTCTGATGCAGAACAGACATCAATAATTGATGCATTTGAGATGACATATGGATTTCCTGGTGTTGTTGGAGTCATTGGCTCAACAGCATTTAATATCAGTCACCCAGTGATATTGAGTGATGACAATCACTATTATAATCCTGCTTCAGACCAACATTCAATAGTTATCCAAGCTGTTTGTGATCAACACATGGTTTTTCGTGATGTATGTGCAGGTGTACCAAGCAGAAGAACTTCAGCTGAAATACTGAGGGATAGTCCTCTGTATATGCGACTTGTTAACCGAAGTGCTCCATTAATGAAGCCTCAAACTTTCATTCTTGGAAGTAGTGATTATCCCCAGTTACCAAACTTACTAACTCCATATGCTCCAGAGGCTCGGGGTCGACCACTTGATAATACTGAATCTAGTTTCAATAAGCAACATGCTGCAGTAGAAAGTATAATTCACAAGTGTTTTGACATATTAAGAGTTCGATTTTCAAAACTTAAATATATTAATATCCCTGATAATTCAAAGGCAACACATGTTGTATTGGCTGCATGTGTTCTACATAATTTTGCTCTATTTAGAGGAGATATAATGATTTAATATGTATTAATACTGTACATAATTTTAAATTACTATAATTATTTTTATTACTTGGAAGAAGAAACTTTCTGAGTAAACACATTCTAAATGGAGCAGTGTTTCAAAGAAGTTAGAGATATAAATAATCAGCAAGAGGGGAAATCTTCAAAATTTTTATAATAATTGTGCTTTAAGTTTTATAGAGCTTTAGAAGGAAGATCAGTAGTTTGTTGTAAATGTGTGTTAAATGGCATTTATCTGGAGATAAACCAAGATTTTAACATAATATTTAAATATATAAATTACTACATCCAAGAATAAAATTTAATAGCATTTATTTGCATTTGAATGACGTACAAATGAATATTGTTAAGTAAATCATTGATACATTTTTGTAAGTGCATTTAGAACATTTATGTGTTTTTGACATGCAATATGAGCCATTTATTTCTTTGCAGAAATAAAGATCAAATCCGAAGGTTTCAGAAACATATTTTTTACCATTTTGTTTTCAGTAGATCATGTATAGGGCACCAAAAAAGTCTCGGTACTGGGTCAAGTCAGAGCCTTCTATTAAAAATGGCAATGATGTTGGTAGCAAACACATGGCTGGGAAACAAGTAAAGGGACAACACTTCCAGCATGTTATGATTGTAGTGACTGCAGTATTTACATTTTCTTTTGTTGCACACTGCTACCAACATAATTTTTGTTGCAAACACCAAGGGACCACTATGGAGAGACTTTTTCTGGCATGCTGTATATTTCATAATATATTAGCAATCTACCAAAAACTGAATTAATTTAATATTGAAAATTATTTTAAGAATTTAAATTTTGCGAGATGTACTGTTGGAAAAAATATAATATTAACTGTCTTATATGGAAACCGTATTTCAGCCCCTTATAAGAATTTAAGGAAAATTTAAAAATATTAGTACATAAACAATCGAGGCATCCAGGGAGAGGGGAAGCTAACCCACAAAATTCAGAATATTCATTTACGAATGTTCGATTATAAATACATTGAAGATGTCAATAAATCTATCTTTTGAATTTTGTGAGTTGGTTCCCTCTCTCACTGGATGCCTCAATTATCCTTGTTAAAGAAAAACATGTTGAAACTTGAGAACTAATAATTTTTGATAGAATAATACATGATGCTGAGAAAAATTTCCTACAAGAATCTTTTTGTATTTTTGTTGCTGATATTTCTTACTTATAAAAATTGTTGGGTTTCATGTGATATCTGATTTGTATTGTATGATATACATTGTTTAAGGCATTTAACACCACCTGTTTATTGGTGGAAAATTCATTCCGTATGAATACATGTGTTTATTGAATATACTTGTGTGTAGTTCATAGCAGAAGTCAGCTTTATAACAGAGCGAAACAGAAACAATGAAAAATTTTGTTCCAGGAATTACTTTTTATTTTTTTAAACTGTTGTGCTTGTAAACAGTGAAATGTCAATTAAATATGACCGAGGTAGCATGTGTAGTAAGTTATTTCTTGCAACATTCCTAAATTGTGTATTAACAATTATGAGATGTGTGAGAAATTCCTTTTAAGAACATAAAAATAAATGTATATTAATATACATAAGATCAATAGATGATGTTCGTATGACTAATTTTATGTTAAATTAATTTCAGTTCTTATATGCCATTTTTAACCTCAGTTATTTCAATTAATGAGGGTTTGTGCTTTTAAAATAATTTAGATTTCAGCATTGATGGATGCTATATACATATTCACTCATCTTATGACAGCTTGTAGAATCTTATGAGGTACGTAGTGAAACCCCTTACAAATTATATCTTACTATGAAAACCGTTGTTAGTTAGTACTACAAATTAGTATTTTAATAGTTTATGAATAATCAGATATTCATTGCATATAAATCTAATTTTCAAAATATTTGTCAAAGAACTTATTACAGGATTTCAATGTTCACTCCTGGAGAATGTTTTTGTTGAAATGAAATGTCCTGTCAAAACACATTGTATCCTTCAGAAGTACTAAATTAATTCAGTTTGACAATGGGACTTAAACTGAAGAGGTCTTCAGTTTGACTAAAAAGAAAAAAAAAACGAACTTTGATGCTGTTTCATGGAAAAATTTTGAAGGGTTCTTTTCAAGGAAGACTAGAATTTCAAGCAACACATGAAATGCAAATGAAAATGCAAAATCAATCTTTGAAAAGTTAATAAAGAAAAAGGAATAAACAGTTTTCTTTTTCAAATCGGAAAAGCATTCTGATTGTGCTGTCAAGAATAAAACTTTGTAATGAAGATATTACCCTAAAATTTTGATCTCTTAAATATTTTCAGTACAATATCTGTTTCAATTCAAGTACTGGAAGATCATACTCATCCCCATGACTTGCACCGCAATCCCTCCAAAATACACTCCGAATTCACCTGTGTACCTTGTGATCACTCAATCAAAACTTCTCCCAAATTACAGGTATTGTAAATCAAAGGTTCAAATTAAGGGATTTGTATAATTCAGATTTAACTTTATTTTGTGTGTGCTTTTAAAACATGCTCATTGTGAATATTATGAGGAATTGGTATATATAAAACAATAATTGGTAGTGATTGAAAATAATTGTGGTTAGTTTCCCTTTTTTTTTAAAGGTCGCATCCACATCTAGGTCATTAGTGACCACTATTGCATTAACGGTATGGTAACAGTGAAGATGACATGATATGATGATGATGATAGAGGGTGAAAGGATGAATACAAATTCAACCATGCCCGAGGCAGGACTCAAACCCGCGACCCTTCGATCCGAGATCACTATGGCACTACTGCCTTAATGATCTCGGCCATCCGGATTGGCAGAGTTATTTTGATTATGTGTTTGTTATATTTTACAAAATACATGTATTTCTTCAAAAAGTTAACGTTACTTATATGATTCTAATGGAATCAAGTATAATAGTATAACATGATATTTGATTGTTTGTGCTTGATAAATTATTTAATTGATGTTTTATGATACCAATTGTCTATTTGAAAATGAAAATTTAATTTGTAGCTTTTGTACCAACTTAGGTGATTCAGGGCACCAATGGATGTCACTGCAGTGCTTCTGACTGGGAGGTCTTAGGATTCAAGTCCTAAGGGTAGCAGGATATTTGACACTTGCTATATAGTTAGGTCAAAATCAGCCCATCTGGAGGAGAATTCTAAAAGCCAGATGCACTGATTGGTAGTTTTTCTTGGATCAACTCCAGGCATAAGCCAGAGCAGTGCCCTAACACCCGGATCAAAGTCCAAACATGATCTTTTCTTCCTCTTCCTCATCCCTTACTTCCACACACTTACACAAACTACTCACGCTGGAAGACTAGTTAGGAGCTTTGAGCTTATCCCACCTGGGGTAGTGTCCCATTGGTGGGAGATACCAGGTAATCAAATATAAAGATCATGTAATAGCTGCTTGTCTATTATAATGTTCGAGTTAGTTTCAAAGAATTTACATTTTATTTCCTTTTCAATCTTTCATGAATAATTTTAGTCAAGCTCATGTTCTATGACTTCATTTGCTTCTGACTCAAAGTTCATAAATATAAAGGAAATAATGTATAAAAATCACAATTTGTTAGCTTGTTTAAGATAGAGAAATTCTTGCATTAATGCTCTTTATTATTGTATGGTATTGATTTAGGCTATTTCAAATAAGAACTAATTTGATCATACTGCCCTGCTCTCAAATTTTCAAAACTCTTAATTTTGGGCTGAAATAATATCTGGAATATCGTAATTAGATATATAAAGAATTTATTTTTTTATATTAAAAATTCACAATTGTTTATTTAATATATTAAAATTTGTTTTTTGAGATCAAGAATGAAGGAAAGTGAAGAGAAATTTATCTACAGGAAGAAAAATTGGAGTTTTTTAGGTAACATCCTTGGATTTTGTAACAAGTTCATTTAATATATGTAAATTATTTATGGCCTTTCCTACACTATTGCATGCATTAGGAACATAGATACCTAAAATGAAAGATTACAGGTGAACAGAAATGTCATAAATGAAATGTCTTCAATTAGTAAAAGGTTGCACTCTATTAAACTACATTAGGAATGACAAGGTAAGGCAAGAATTACAAAAAGATGGAAGAAATATCAAATGCATATTGTACCAGAAAGAATCCCCAAGAAGATCCTAAATTACAAACCTTTGGAATGAAGAAATGATCAACCAAAGACAAGACGATGAAGCCAGAACAGGCTATCATGCCTAATTCTGAAAACACAAAAAAGAAATTGATAATATTAACCAGATTTAGTTGCATGTAGATAAATATTTTCTTGTGAAGATGAATAATCATCTGTACAATAAAAACTAACGTAATTTAATTACATTAAATAACAATGTGAGCCGTTTTTATGTATTTTGTTACCTATTCTTGAGGGTTTTAAATTACATTTCTTAAAATTTTCTATGAACACACTGATGTAGGCATTTATTGTGTATTATAAAAAATAATTTTTTTATTTAAAATCTTGCAATGCCTATGCAAAAAGTGTTTGAAAGTTGATAATAAGGTCAGTAGTAAAATGGTATTTCAACTTGAATTTCTCTCTTCAAATTTGTATTTTTTCAAAAGCAAGTTTCTTTTCTTGTTCCAATTCTGTTTACTACAATTATGTTAATTATTTAGCAAAGGTGTCTACATGATTTTCTTGTAATAACACACTCAATGAATATTATGCTAACTTTAAGCATGACTGCTTGGAGGTAATTGGTGAGATTTGTTTTTGTAATTCACCTAGATTCTTAGTTCTCACAAAGGAGATGGTGAGTCTGAACAAAATGCTGATGAGTTACATTGTTTTACTGAAAGAGTGAGAGCAAAAGCCTATTCATATTCAGTGATTAAGTCTATTTAACTAACAAACATTTTGTCGTACAACTTTTTTCATACTTAAGTATACACTTGCAGGTGGTTATCAGCAGATACCATCTTTAGGATATGTTCTCAAATTCTGAAGCTAGGATAAAACAAAACTGTAAGAAAATGTCAATTGAAACCTTTTGCCCATGAACAAAGTTTCTCTCTGTGTACAAATTGATGATAATACCTAATAGGGATAAATGTTTGTCAGTATCAGAATTATGAAGAAATGCTTCTCTTTCAGTAATTATGTTCTGAATGTCTGTGAGAGATTGTGATGGAAGTTAATGAGGACAAGATATAATAATAGCAAAAAAAGTTTTGTTTCGGAAAAAATTGCAGGTCAAAATTTTAATAAATAATAGATTCCCATTCGGTCTGTAGTTAAAAATATTATTTAAACTTGTTTGTCGTAATAAAATAAATAATTGTGAGGAATTTGTGTAAATATTCATCACTATTACTATAAATTATTGAATTAAAATAATTTAATGTTGTTATTGGGAAGAATACAGATCATATTAATAAAATATAAGAAAATTTTCTAACTACTACACCACTGAAGTACTTACTATACCAGGGTTTGCAGCCTGTGAGCCACATGCAGTGGCACAATAAATTGCACCACATGTGGTGGTCTGCAAAAGTTTATTAGTCAAAACTGAAAGTCCCTTGCACCCATGTTGAGCGAGAACATTGTGCCCTGTTGGGGTCAACACACCCTTTATGTAAAAATAGGTTGTTTCGATTTCTTCTTGTGAATTTAGATATTGAAAATCATCATAGTATATTCCACATTATGCATTGTATGGACTGCTATCACGCATGATTCCTCCCTCCCTACCTTTCCATGCTCTGTTTCAGAGCAGCTTGGCAAATAGCCAAAATCAAAAGTACGGCAAAGTCAGGTGTGTGTCACTTGAATAATGAAAATATTGCCTCCAACCATATGAAGTGAAAGTTGTGGCCCTTGAGGCCTTGCAAGTTGGACACCCCTTTACAATACTGTAGTTAATAAGTACTTAAGTGAGTTGTAGAGCAAAGAATTCGTTAAAAAGTGACACAGGTTCCGTTGTCATTGAATTCTATGAAGTTTTGAAAATCCAAAAGTTAAAAATAATGCAAGAAAGTACAAGAAGTTGTAGCATTACTAGTTCTTGTTGTGCAACATTAGTTGCGTATGCAGCTTCATTTGTGAGTCTAGGGCATCTAGAAATGCACTTGTTGCAAGTAGCATGGCAAAGTGAAAGTTGCAAACACAAGCCATGCAATACGTGTGTAATGCACAGAGTTCAATTTTGAAAAATGATCATCTTAGGAACTGTGTGATTTTGTTTTCCAAGGATTTTAATGAAGTGCTTCAACAGCATTGATGATATTTTTGTTTCTAGAATGACGATTGTTCACATAAGTGCATTGGAGCAACAAAAAGAAGGGTTTTTTTTGGCAATGGAGAGTAAACAGCACTGACTCTTCTATTTATTATTCTTTGTTTAAAAAACTAAATGCTCGGATCATTTTTTTCAAAATTATAGAGCTTAGCTTATCTTCCCAATTTTAATATAATATTTTAATTCATGACTCATTCATTTAATTGATAATACAAAAAAAATTAAGAATGATGTACAGTTGGTTAATTATGGATAAATTACTATAAAAACAATTAGCAAATAAAAAGACACATAACTGTTAAATTTTAATAATATTGACAGTACAGGCGATTGTCAAGCATAGTTTTGTACTTTGAAGTGTTTGCAGCTATGAATAAACATTTTATCTGATTAGATCCCTAAATTAATTTATGAATAAAAGGAATGAACCAAATTATTTAAAGACGTGTTTCTATTGAAAGATGGAATCAAATATGTAATTATGAAAATATTATACAAGTGAGCCTATTAGGGTAATATCATTTTAAGTTTCGGAAATCTCTTCCTAAAAATAATAAAACTAAAAATCAATATACCATGTTTTATAAAATTTAAATATTTCTTCATAATAACAATAGAAAAGTGTGTGAGCTTTAATTTTTCTTTTTTTTTTTGCTATTAAAGTAACTGCCAATTATAAATG